AAATAACTCTGCAGCCATACGGTGCTGGCTGTGAATATACAGATCCAAACAGACACCGCAGATCAAGTGATCAGCAGAAACTATTACCGATCCAGCCTCTAGGCCCACGGTGAAACTCCTGAATTGCTATGTGGCGGTATTTCCCACTAACTTTCCGCCACATCACACGACACCCCTGGATGCATAATCGTGGTGCCCTGGCTACTAACACTGAAGATCTCATGTTGCACTGGCAAGACTGAAAAACTGAAGGCCAAACCTCAAATCCAATGCCTACAAAAGTCTCCATCCACCCAGTCCAAAAGCTCCACAAAATCCAGGCCATTTGTGTACTTACTTAACCCTTTCCATCGATGCCCAGTCTTTTCAGCCCAATGGAGCTAGCCGCTCATCTGGAACACTTTCCTAATCCATGTGACTAGGACCCCTCCGATGGTTTCTCGCACCCATGCAGCCAATGACAATGTATACATATTCGTCCGGACCGGCTGGGCTCCGCATCGGAATCGCCTAATTTGCACACTGTGCTTCGGGCCGAGAAACGCCGTACCGAACAAAAAGCACCATTTTTCTAATTTGCTTTGTTCTTGAAACTCCACCTTGGCCCCTGGGGATTTTAGCCAGATGGTCTTGGGGCAACGGGTATTTTTTGGCAGATATCCGCCGATATGCCCGTGGGGCCAATGGGAGCATGGCGGTTTGATTTCATGACCCGAGCGGCTGAAACATCACCACTTATGCCGTCAGACCGGTACCGCCAAGACCGCACCGTTATCTATTTCATCTCGCAGGGTGTAGCGATTTCCAAAATTTTCAGGAGGAGAAGAGCAAAAGTAAAAAAAAAAAGTTCAGGGTTATGAGAGCTTTCTCCAATTTTTTTTGGTCATTGCTCCCTGGGTCTGGGAGTCTCGACTTTGGCTTCGTTTGAACCGTATCTATGAATCGATGAGCCCGTCATCGCTAACCTATACACCTAGCCAGGCTTCAAAGCACCGCTGCTATTCACATGGCTAGCCGCATGCAACGCTTGCTATGCTAATAAAAAAAAAACCGTCCCACTTTCTGTTCACGGAGCAACCGGCTTGGCTGGGAAAGCATCCACAATCGCCTTGACACCACTGTCAAACCGCTTCGTCTGCAAAACATCCTCTCCCTTCTCCAAGTCCGTAAACGGATTGCAGATCTGCCGCAAGTAGACCTTGTACAACTTGGAAAACACCTCCTTCAAGTCAGCCAGCAAAGGCTCGCCTTCTCCCACACCCACAACGATCTTCAACCCGTTGTTGGTCTCCATTCCGTAAACCATCACTTCGTCTTGAATAAACAAAAGTAGAATGCCGTCGTGGCTTTGCGGTTGCTGCTGCTCCCTGAGATTCAAGGACATGGGCAGCAGAAACACGTCTAGCGCCATGTGGGAAAGAAAGTTGTATTTCAAAAAACGGTTGGCATCGTCTTTGCCCAAGGCGTCGCCCACATCGAACAGCTGGATGTATAAGGGCTTGTCGTCCCGGGAAATCAAGGAAACAAAGTTAATTTTGGTCATGGCTGGTTTTAGCCAAGCTTCTGTAACTTTTCGCGCTGTGTGGTTGGTAGGACTTCTCCATACTTCGGACTCACATCTGAGGTGTCCTCTACCATGACCGACGTTTCTTCTGAAAACAGGAAAGTCGACGAGTTTTTGCAAACTTTGGACAAGCTTTCACAGGAGAGGTTGATGGACGACCAGAAAAGACAGTGGCAGTTGGAGCGGGACATCGAGGGTCTTAGTAACGAAAGCCCCAAGCGGCCCTCTTTGAGCTCCAGGGCTTCCTCGGCAGGACACGATATCAAGGAATTGGTGTTCAACAGAACCGCCAGTGCACGTAACAAGTTCCAGGACAAGTGGAAAAACAGAGAAAAATCGCTGGAGTATGCCTCGGACGAAGAGTTCGATGAGGACGGCTACCAGCTTCCTTACAGGCCAAGAACCAACAGAAGACAGTCTCGTCGGGCTGCTAACAAGGACATGGAGATTGAGCTTCCTCGGAGAAACAGCTCCTTGACCCATATTTCAGACGACGACATGGACCTTGACTTTGGTCTCAAGAAGCCTGTAGCGAGAAAGGCGTCATCGTTGAAACTGTGGGTTTCCAAGGAGTCTGAGGAGAGCATTGAGAGTCCTAGGACACCCAAGGGGGAGCGTCCTGGCTTCATGAAGTCGATGAAGGGCTCTTTTTCAGACATGCGTGGGTCCATCTCGGAGATGAACGTGAAGGGTTCGTTTTCAGACATGAAGGGCTCGTTCAGCGAGTTGAAGAAGAAGAAGTCTTTTTCGGAGATGAAGGGCACGCTCAAGAAAAAGAGCTCGTTCACGGAAATGAAGGGCTCCTTCACCGACATGGAGCGCAGAATCAGGCGCAGAGGTGTCAGCGAAGAAGGCAGAGAGTCGGACGACTCCAGGGAGATCAAGGAGACCAAGGAGAAGAAAATCAGCAAGAAGGAGGCGAGGAGACAGGCCCGTATTTTGAACCTCGAGGACCGCACCAATGTGTGGAGAGCCGATGAGTCTGAAGAGGAGGAAGAGGTGCCCAGATGGAAGGCAAAGGCCAGAGGGCAGAGGCAGGACAACTCGTGGATTGCCGAGGAGGACGAGGAAGATTCGGAAGATTCGGAAGTGGAAAGGCCCACCAGATCCGTCAGAGAGTACCTCCACAGCCGTCAGATGTCTGAGGACTCTGAGTTGGAGATGCCCACGAGGGCGAGAAACGGAAGACTCAACCGTGTGATTCTGGAGGATTCCGAAGTGGACTTCCCCATTAGAAGCTCAAGAAACGGACGTTTGAACCGCCAGATCTCCCAGGACTCTTCTGAGGTGGAGTTGCCAACCAGATTTTCCAGGAGTGCGCGTCAGAACCAGATATCTGAGGAATCCGAGGAATCTGACGTGGAGTTGCCTACAAGAACTTTCAGAGACGCCCGCAAGAAACAGGCTGTATGGACAGCTGACGACTCAGACGAAGATCCCATGTCCAAACCACCCAAGCCTGCTAAGCCAGCCAAGCCTGTGAAGCCTGTGAAGGCTTTCAAGCCAGAGGAGAAGGAAGAGCCCAAGGAAGCAAAGAAGCCATGGTCGAAGCCAGAGGCGCCCAAGCCACGGGCCGTTTCTTCCACGTCATCCTTCAACAGCGCTACATCTGCACCAAAACCAAAACCAGCTTTTAAGCCAGAGCCTAAGACGTTTAAACCTGAGCCAAAGGCAGAGCCAAAGGCAGAGAAGCCAGAGCCAAGGGCAGAGAAGCCAGAGTCAAAGGCGGAGAAGCCCGAAAAACCTCCTGTCAAGAGCGCCCCTCCAAAACCAGCCAAACTCTCATCCAAAGCATACGAAGAGAAGGACTCGCAGGAGCTCAAGGACCGTATTCTGAAGCTTTCTCCCACAAAGGCCAGCGCCCCTGTCAAACCAGCTAAACTCTCCACCAAGGAGTACGAGGAAAAGGATTCACAGGAGCTCAAGGACCAGCTTGAAAAACTCGCTAACAAAAAGCAGCCGCCAGCAAAGCCAGCAAAGCTCTCTAAGTCTGTCTCCAAAGACGGCGAGGCAGAGGCAATTGGGGCCTTGCATTCTCTCAAACCAGCCAAACCGGCTGCGTTGAAGACCGCTCCAAAGCCTGAGGCGTTGCAGAAATTCTCATCGATGAAAGCAGAAAAGGCCGCTCCCAAGAACTTCCAAGCCGAATTATCTGGTATACTTCGCTCCAGCACCGAACCTTCGTTGCAAAAGGGTCCCACGAACGCCTCCTCTGTCTCATTGACTGAATCGAAACCTCCCACAACGACGCTCAAAAAGTCATGGACCGAGCCTACACTGAGCCAGATTTCGCATATCACCAAAACTAGATCCAAGGGCCCCAAGAGAAGATTGCCCAAGTCCGCATCGCTCACGAACTCACTGGCTTCAGAAAAGTCTGAATCGGAATCTGATCCAGAACCCAAGTCCAAACCAGAGCCCAAGCCTGAGCCTACGGTAGCCGAGAAACCAAAGGGTAAGGTGCCTCCTGCTAAGCCTGCGAAGAAGCCGCCACCAATCAAGGCCAAAAAGCCGGACATTCTCGCCAAGCCACGGACCGTTAGCGGCGAACTATTTATCTAATTCACCAAAACCAGCCTATCCTGAGTACGAGTTTTGCAACCGTTGAGCCTGGTTTCCTGTACATACCCTGCTACTGGTGTTGCTCGGCACCCTACCAAACTTTTGTGTGCGCGGGAATCATCTGCTCTTCATTCCTCCCAATCACCATGAGCAATATCTATGACATCTTGACCGCCGGCAATGGCGGTTTTTCTAATACTATAACAAAATGTATCGATTATCTTGAACAGCACATTCCTGGATATGCCTCTAGGTCCTCGTGGCTGGAGTACTTCAACGACATAGCTTCCACCAGCAGAGAAGAACTCATTGACGACTTTTCCAACTTGAGGGTGACCCCAGCCACTACTACGGTTGTTTTGACGACATTTTTGACGATCTTGGTCGCCAGCAAGCTCTTAGGTGGTTCGCCTCCTCCTAAAGAAACCAAAAAACCAAAGAAGAAGAAGAAGAGTAAGGCTCAAGTTGCCAACGCTCAGATTCAAACCATTTTGGACAATGTGGAGGAGACATACGTGACTCAAATAGATGACTACATTGAGAACTTTGGCCAATTGAGCGAAGACAAGAAGGAGAACACTTACAACTACATTCAGGAAATGTTGTTGAAGGAGCTTTTGAAGCTAGACGGTATTGACATTGCAGGCAACGAGGTGTTGCGTGACAACAGAAAGAAGGTGATTCGCTTCATTCAGGAGCACCAGTCCAGGTTGGACCAGTTCAAAAAGGACAACCAAACTAGCTAGAACTCGTGGCTGGCGGCTTACTTGGCACGCCGAACCGCGGGGCCCCAGTCGGATGATCTGGGAAAATAAATGTCTTTAATTGTTTCTTCTCCCCCAACCAGAGGGCGTGGTGTGTGTGGTCCAAAAGATCAAAGCCTGTCTGTGGATGAACCAACACAGATAAGGAGCCGTGGTGCTGGACGAACCAGCTGAGAACTTTGCCAAACACATCCACTCGAGCAACGTCCACCTCCCAAAACAAGTCGTAGTGGGGCCCTATGGCCTTCTCCACCTTCAATTGCTTTACTATAATGGAGCCCTCTGCGGCCTCCTGGGGGAAGTCCACCAAGATCTTGTTCTTGAGGGCATGTGCCTCTTCTGAAGTTGCCTCGTCGTAGTAGACGTGGAAGTCCCAGAATGTGACTGGATCCGTCCACGTTAAATCGGGGTACTTTGGCCTGGTGGCCACCTCGGGATCGTCCTTGTTCAAATGTGTCAAGTATTCCATGTAGTGATAAGGTGATACTAGTAGTTTTTCGCACCCAAAGAGCCACACAAGTGTGGCTCACCCAAATTGAAACCTCAGAAAGCCAATTGTGGACAATCAAGACGGACCATAGAATGTCCCAGCTCTTCCTCTATTTGGCGGCGTTTTCGGCCTCGGACTTGGCGTCGGCTTTGGCATCCTCAGGCGTCTTCTTCTTTCTCTTCTGAGACGCCTGGGCGACGATCTCTTCGTACATTCTAGCCTCCTCGTCCTCAAGCTCTGTCCTGGTCATTCCGCTGAAAACCTCACCGACAATTCTAAGTGCTTTGGCTCTTGCAACCCTCTTCTCTAGTGGCACCTCCTCATCATAGAGAATGCTGTCACACACACCACCGGCAGTACCCTGGATCTCGAGCTTTGAACCGGCCCAGGCCAAAGCCAACACTTTACCAACAAGGTAGTTTTGCATCTCGGCAATTTCCTCTGGGGTGTGCTTATCAGGAACCTTCTCCTCCTTAGAGGTCTCGGTGACAGTGCCGGCCTTCTCCTTCTCCTCCTGAAGCAGCTGGAGCTTTTCCTCCAACTCCTCCTTCTCCTTGCGGACCTTCTCCTGCTCCTCGGTGGTGGTGGCTGCGGCCTCGGCCTCCTTCTTAGCATGGTACTCATTGTCCTCTTGCATTTTGGCAAATTCCTCAAAAGTCAGCTGGGCCTCCAACGCCGTGGAAACGGTCTTGAAAGTGTCTCTGACCACACTGCCTTTCTCCTTGACGGACCACCAGAGCCCGCCAATGCTGCCCAAAAACGTCTGTTTCTTCAAAAAGATCTTGGACCGGGTTTTGTAGATCGACCCAAGGGTATGCAAAATCTGCAAGCCAAACGACTCCATCTTGAGCGACTCGGCCTCGTACTTGAGCTTCTGCCTGAAGGACTCGGCCACGTCATCGGCCATGTCTGTTTCAGTGAACAAGGAGAGCTTGTCGACCAATTTCTTGGAGAGTTCGCCTCTCATCTCTGCCCTCTTGACGTTGCACTCTTCCTCAAATTTCTCAAGCTCCTCCTTGCGGCGTTTCTCTTCCTCCTCCTTGTGCTTCTTCTCTCTCTCCTCCAAGGTCAAATTCGAGTCCTCATGCTCGAGGTACAACTTGTTCGTTCTCTCATTGATATCAGAGATGGCGTCGGCCTCCTTGGCTTGCTCCTTCTCCTTCTCCTCTTCAGTGAATCCATGGAGCTCGGCAGACTTCTCCACCTCCTGTAACAAGCTCAACTCGCCAATCCAGTCCTTGAACGCCTCTCCACCGAAAACCATGGTGAAGAACTCCAGCGGGTCCTCGAACCCCTCCAGCGGAATCAGCTCCTGCTTTCCAAACTTGTCATACTTTTCTCTCAATCTGTCGTCCAGCAAAACCTGGTACGCCTCTCCCACTTCTTGGAAACGTTCTGCTGCGCTGGGGTCGTCAGGGTTCTTGTCCGGATGCAAACGAATCGCCGCTTTTCTGTATGCTTTTTTGATATCGAGCGCCGTGGCCGAGGGTGGAAGCCCTAACAAGTCGTAGTACGCTGTGTCGGCGACCATATTGTGGGTTCTAAAATGTGGTGGTCAATGAGCTAGATGATGTGGGTGCGAATCGCTGCCTGTGAATGCTGAAGTACGAAGATCGTGAGGGTAGAGGGCCGATTGGCGAAAAACGGGAGTTTTTTGAAAAGAGGCTGTTTTTGGAAATTTGGCGGATTGGAAATCGTGAAAAATCGCTTTGGTCGTGTGACCAGGCCAATCAGAGTGGTGCCGTTTGTCTCATGCCAAGGGCACATTATGGTAATGTTCAGTATCGTCAGCGTGACCGCTGGAGTGGCGTGTATCAGATTTTAGAGAATTGGAGATTAAGAGATTTTGGTTGAAAGAGTTGATTTTTTAATTTAAAGTGGTCTACTTTTTTGCCTGATATGTCTATAATACGTGGGTGTTGGGTCGTGGTTCTGTGTGGCAAACCTGTGAGCAAACGGCGGTGTAACAATGGGAATCTGAAAAGTGGCTTTTACGGGTGCGACTAAAAGTAACACAGTAGAGAAAATAGTACAAACGGCTGTGGTAGGTCAAACGGGTTCAACACCTTTTGGACATTTCGCAGCCATTAATCGACAGATGCAGATACCTTTTTACCCGACCACATCTCCTCCACAGCCTACATTGTCACCTCGTATTTACATGAATTGATATATGCCATCTTATGCCGAGTAGTACACCTTCCTCAAGTCGACAATCTTCTTGCCTCTGCCGGCAGCCAACTCCTCAATTGGTCTCTCCTTGGTCAAAGCCTCAAAGAAGCCCTTCACCGTGTTCATTCTGTTTCTGGATCTGGTGATCTTTCCTCTGAGATCCTTGATACCAGCAGCCTCGCAAACCTCGAAAAGCACTGGGTTCACTCTGAGACCGAAACCAGCGGGGGCAGACTTCAACGATAATCTGACGGCGTGGTACTTGTAGTCAATCTCACCAATGATGGTTCTGTCCTCGTAACGGGCAATAGGCTGGAGGTTCTTCACAGCATTGAAGAAACCCTTCTCCAAAGCAGTCTTCACACCTTGTCTGGATTTACCCTCACCCATACCCACCATACCGTTCTTGTCACCGACAATGGTCATGGCGTAGAAGTTTGGAATCTTACCCTTCAGCGTTTGCAAAGACACTCTTTTGATGAGAACATTGACAACATGCAAACGACGGATGTAGTCTTTGTTGTAGCCGGTTAAAAGAGCCACTTTTTCGATTCTTGCAGCACGGAAGTTCTGCTGTGGGCTCAGCTTCTTCTTCTCATCAACCTGGAAACGCAACTTCAAGTCGGAGGTATCTGGGTTGGCTTCTCTAGGAATATTAGCGTACGGAGTCATACCGACACCCTGGTTTGGATACATGATGGGCTCATCGAATTTGGGGTCGGTTTCCGTGTATGTCTTGCTGGCTTCTGGAGCAACTTTAGAACGTTCACCCTTTCCGGCCTTTTTCATTTCGATATATGTCTGTGGATCGACCAAGGACTCTGTGATTTTGAGACTCTGTAGCATCTCGGGAGTGTAGAACTTGGTGAGGTATTCATTGGATTTGGCTTTTTGGAGACTCGTGACAGAGCTCGAAAAAAGCCTTATAGGAGCTCTTTCTAGCCCTAGGCGGGTGAAAGACGTCCTGAACATGGATGGTAGCTTGATGGTAGTTGAAATTTTTTGTTCCTCACAAAATGTCGAGGTGACCTGCAGACAGCACCTACACCCAGGGCCCAGAGGTTGCAAGAAATAAATTAAAAGTATGGTTATTTATCCTTCTTGTCCAGAAGACTGAATTCGGCAATGTTTTCCGTGCTTGAGAGATTGGCACCACTCTGTGGCGAGAATTGTGGTGTCAGTCGTAACAGTTCCTGGCGCTCCACTTTTTGCTGCAAATCCATCATCTCTGACTTGAGACGGTTCACTTCCTTCTCGAACCGCTTGCCAAAGACCTCAATGTAGTAAGTGGCGCCGTTGTAGGCCGACCAGACGAAAATAAACGCCACAAAGCCTCCGCATGCATGCTTGTACTTGAACCAAATCGGGCACGGAAGCATGGTGAGCATCTGGTACCCGAACTGGATCAAGGTGAAGGCGGCAATTTGCATCCATGTGTAGGGAAGACCGTTGACAAAACGGCCCAAGGGGCTATCGCTGTTTTTGTGCTTGAGATACGTGAAGGATGTAACTCTACCCTTGGCGATCTGGGACCGCTTGCGCACAGTGATGAAATAATGGTAGCACACCTGCCAAATGGTGTAGTAGATTGACGTCCAGACAAGGCCGTTGGCGAAGTTCCATTTTTCGATGTTTGCAATGCCAGGGTATCTTTCAGCAATGTAGGCCTCTGGGAGCTCGTGCACGAGAACGAACATGGTAATTGGGGGCATGATGTGAATAAAAGAGCTTGTGGTTTTCTCGATCGAGTGCAACACAAGCGAGTTACGCCAGGTGATCACGGCAAAGCAAAGCGTTCCCAACGTCAATGAGAAGCACGAGATGAAAAGCGATTCGCTTTGTGGGAACACCCAGATAAATAGCACCACCAAGAGGTTGACGTAGTAGCACAAGTCCGCAAGGTAGTACTGGAACGACAACTTGAAGTAGGTGTAGAAACGAATAGGCATTAGCGAGCAGAAGAGCACCGTGTGGAAAACGGGAAAGTACTTTGGATACTTGCCAATGATGAAACCTGCAGCAGCGACCAAAGCAACAGCAGCAGCGTAGAAGCCCTTTTCCGTCAGAGAACTCTGCAAGCTCTCGTGCATCTTGGAGTCAAACTTGGTCAATTTGGCATGGAGAGACTCCTGGTACTTGGCCAACTCCTGGGACGTGAACTTCCTGTTTCCCTTTCCGTCCGGGGTAAACTTCTTGAAGGTCTGTCTGGTCTTGTCCTTCATATCCTTGAAACGCTTTTTGGTGGATCCACTGACCTGGTCGAAGCCATTACCGAAATCAAAGTCCGGCATCACCAAAAGCTTGGACAAATCAATGAAGGATACCAGGGAATCCAGGCGTGCTAGCTTGCCTGAGCTCACCAGACTCCGGTCGTCTAGCTCGGCCTCCTCCTCAATGTCATCTATAGCAGAACTGTCCAACTGGTTTTTCTTGATCAAGTTGTCCACAGACAAAGGCTCGGCACCCGATGCCTCTGCTGTGTTTTGGATAGCCATATCGCAAGTAGTTGATAGTTGTTGCGCGCGAGTCAGCAAGATAAGAGGAGGTGGGGGATGACTCGGAAGGCAGTTTGAGCAAAAGGGAAGAAAAAGCACTAGAGGAGGAAAAAGGAAAAAGAAGTCGTTTTATTTGTTTTGAGTGTGGAGGTGGCACGTTGGTGTGCACGTGTGGGTGCAAACGGTATCATTGTCGCTTGACAGGTGTGACAGCTGTGGTGCAGATGATGGGTAAACAGCGGTGGTGTCTTTTTGTTGGGTACTCTTAAAAAAAATTGAGTTTTTATTTGCCTTGAGTGGACTCTCTTTCGTTTTTTATGTTCTTCTGTTTTTATAGGTCTCCGTGTTTCAGTGGGTTCACGGTTTGTGTCATTCCATGCTGCGTGGTCTGCGTTTTGCAGCAGTGGAACCGAGATGGTTGGTGATTGCGAACCACAACAACGTGGAGAACAATGGCAACCTGGTCACGCTAAAGCGTGATTTTCTTTGCAGATGGAGCGAAGCAGCGAGATTTCCATAATGAGGGCTTTGTTTGGCGAAAGAGGTGTCGTTTTTTTTTCGTTGCTCGGGAGGTCGAAATTATGCATACATTGCGGCGTCAGGGATGTAGGGGATGTGGCAGTGTTTGGAGAGATTGTGAGGTTGGGAAAGTGTAGGGTGGATTCATTGAAGGGAGGTTTGGAAGGTGGCTTTGCTTTGTTTGGGGCAAGTTCGGTGTATTCCGGTGGGGCAGTAGGAGTCAAGTGGTCAAATAAGTTCAGCCTAATGACAGTAGAGATTTAGCATATTTAAGAAATGGAAGCCAGTTTGAACGAGAACCAAATTTAGCCAGATTTTTAAAATTGCTTCAAAGAATTGGGAAATCCTGGGCTCTTCATATTGGGGAATTTGTCGTGGTACATTGCATGCTCAGAATGGCTGCAAACTGTGCACTAAGATTCCAATAACCTGATGCACCAATGTCCATTTTTGAAACCAATGAGTAAAACATGGAAATTATGACACCAGTGAATATAAACGAAAACGAATTTCATTAAGTATATTGTGAAGAAGCATACTCCTGGGTCCGCATACACCACTTAACTACGGTAGGCACATGTCAGAACAAAACACCACCATGTAGAATTTTGTCCTCTTCAATTTTCTTTCACTCTTCAAAGCGATGTCAAGATTAATTTCAAAAACTGCTTCACCCCCTTTCCCTCTAAATGCATCATTCACACCACCACCTCCATCGACCTGGGGTACATCCATGCTCATCGCGAAAAAGCTCCATCGCATACACTATGGCTGAGGAGACCAAGAAGGAAAAGAGAGAGCGGAAGGAGAAGAAGAAGCAGTTGAAGGAGAAGAAGGAGGAGGCTGCGGAAGAGTCAAAGAAGGAGGAAGTCAAAAACGATTCTCCAGCTCCGGAAGACAAAGCCGCTTCCGATGAGCTCGAGATCGATTTGAGTGCTGGCGTGCCACTTTCCAAGAAACAGCAGAGATTGTTGAAAAAGGGCAAGTTGAACGTGGAGAAGCTCGCCAAGAAGCACCCCACACCCAAGAGAGCCGACGAGGAGGAGACACCCAAGTCCAGCAAATCGCCCTTTGGTGTGTGGATTGGAAACCTCTCTTTCGACACCACCAGAGACGACCTTGTCAGATTCATTGTGGGCAAGTCCCAGACTTTCGGAAACGACTTGGTGAAGATCGCCGAGGAGGACATCTCGAGGGTCAACCTCCCGAAGAAAAACGGCAAGATCAAGGGTTTCGCCTATGTGGACCTTCCTAGCCAGAAGCATGTGGACAGCGTGGTGCTGCTTAGTGAAGCCAACCTCAACGGCAGAAACTTGCTTATCAAGAACTCTACGTCGTTTGAGGGCCGTCCCGAGGGCGATGGCCAGAAGGCGCTTTCCAAGAACCCACCTCTGAGAATTCTCTTTGTGGGTAACCTTTCGTTTGACACCGCCGAGAGCGATTTGGAGGAGCATTTCAGACACTGCGGCGATATCGTGAAGATCAGAATGGCCACCTTTGAAGACTCCGGCAAGTGCAAGGGTTTTGCATTCATTGACTTCAAAGACGAGGAAGGCCCCACCACGGCTCTCAAATCCAAGTTGGCCAAGAAACTCATAAATCGTCCTTTGAGACTTGAGTATGGTGAAGACAGATCGAAGAGAACGCCAAACAGAGTCCGTGAACAGGTTCAGGAAGGTGAGATCAAGGAGGCAGCACCTGTGGAGAGACAAGAAAGACCAGCATTCAGAGAGAGGACCGAGGAGGCACCAAGACCTAAAAAGAGAACATTCAACGATACGCCAGTTCCAGGAAAGAGACTCAAGTCTTCGGTGGCTCTTGCAAGTGCACAAAGAGCCTCTGCTGCCATTGTTCCTTCTCAGGGCAAGAAGACCACCTTCGATTAGGAGGGTAGCAGTTTACGAAGAAAGTGTCATTGATTGCTGTGGATAGGACGGTTGTGATTAAAACGTATAGACAAATGCAGGGAAACGAATGTATTAGTGGGACTTTGGGCTGTTCTCGTATTAGGTGACAAAGTTCATCAAACGCTCAAATTTTTCACAGCTCGAGACTTGTGAGAGTTTGCAAGCCACATACATAAAGTATTCACCGCCATGTAAAAGCATGCAACTGCTGAAACGGCACCCAAAATCTCTATGTAATCTGACTGGACAATTGGCTTGACTGGCTCTCCAGACCTCTGCAAATCGAGCCTGGACTTTGAATAGAGATGAACAAAAGCAGCAATAAAAAACACCTCGATGAGTCTTCGGATTGAAGACGTGATCATCTAAGTGACCGTTGAATTTGGCACCAGCAGCGAGTCACGTAAACGTTTGCATTTCCAGGGTACGTATGTTGTTGGCCTGAATTGTCTTTTGTTTACAACTGTTTTATATGGTCGTAGGAGCCAGCTCCCAACTCAGCAGCTCAAGCCTTCAAGCCCGTATATATATAATTATCGATGGACCTTGAGTTTCACAGCTCTGGTTCTTTGAAGTTCAGGAATTGCTGTTGCTACAGCGGGACCGGTAAGTATGACTGATATGATGAAACCGAGGTCCTTAACATAGGGCATCTGCTTCTTTTGCCTCACTTGAACGCTTTTCTTCCTCACTTGAACGCTTTTCTTCCTCACTTAGACGCTTTTCTTCCTCACTTCCATCAACCGGTAAGCTTTGCGCCAGAGAGTCGGACTGCCTACTCTTTAACCACAAGGCGAACCGGATAATAAGGTACTCAAAGCCTAGGGCAGCCGATATGATTGCCACAACTTCAAGCACATCCCATTTCAGTTTTGGCGCAATGGCAACACCGCGAAGTGCTACCATACGTGACTTGTAGGTATTAGACAACAAAACATAGACCAAGAAGCCGGTTGTACAAGTATAGACGAAATTCACAATAGCATCCACAACATGTTGCACGTAAAGGCGATCTCCTTTCCGTTTGCTTTCCATGGCTAATACCACTGACAGCAGTATGTGGGAGCTTTGATATAAGCTCACCATAAACGTCAATCCCCGTCTGATGAAGAGGTCATCAAGAAGAGCAGGACCTGGTTCCATTTCAGGCAGCTCAAAGTAGCAGTAGAGGCCAGTGAGCCCAACCAAAAGGCCCGCCCGAATAAAAGGAGGCCTGTTCCTTTTTTCTGGTTGTGGCACTGGTTGTGACATAAAGAAAGTAGTTGTGAGTAGTTGCACTGTGAACGCCGATCGAAGTATGCGAGCATATGCCAACCATGGGATCTGCCTCGTTCGCTTTGTTTGATGGAAGTTAAGTGCAAATCGGAATATCAAGATTTAGACCGTCCATTGACCTAATGCTACCGGGCAATCTCGAGAAAACTAAACTTTCCACTCAACCACACTTTTTCAGGCCACCAACATCTACCATCCACCAGAAGCAACAATCTGCCAAAAGCGCCAAATTGTCAAAGCGCCAACTGTCAAAGCGCCAAATCTGCAGAACGACAAAACCAACAAATCGAATAAACCCGAAAAAGCCAGTTTCTCAATCACAGTGGCTTATTCCCGCCCCTCCAATAGTCGAGATGCGCATGATAAGTCCGGGGTATTCACAGCCGCAGAATCTGGCAGCACCGTACAAAGGAAACTACACAAAGAAGCCAGAATCCCCAAAAACAGATAAACCCGGGGTGGCAGAAAGTAACAGAAAATTTGTAAGAATATCAATTTGTCCTCCCTTCTTTTCCTGCAAATCAACCAATATCCTCAAACGTGAAATGTCCTAAGTTGTGGTTCGCTAATTCATTCCTCATCTCGCGCCCTAATCAAACCTTCCCTTACATCACTGCACCGATCACGCCAAACCGGACCCACCTCCTCAATGGGCAATTCCGCATCCTAAAGCACCCCCGCATGCCCCTCCACACTATAAGAAGAGCAGGATTCCCGGGGAACTTGAGGGCTCAATTTTGAAATTCAACCGCCTGAGATGCTCCTCTCGTCTATACGCTTTTCGGCCCGTAGGGGGCCCGTTTGCAGCCATTCCTTCGTTCGCTTCAAGACGTCCATTCCTCGGTCCCAGAAAGCCGTCGTCTACGAAACACACGGTGGACCGTTGCTCTACAGAGACGTGCCGGTTCCAAAACCAAAACCCAACGAGTTGCTTGTCAACGTCAAGTACTCTGGTGTGTGCCACTCAGACTTGCACCTCTACAAGGGCGAGTGGCCGTTTGACGTGAAGTTGCCCTTGATAGGAGGCCACGAAGGCGCCGGAGAGGTGGTGGCCATTGGAGAGGCGGTCAAGGGGTGGAAGATCGGCGATTTGGCCGGCGTGAAATGGCTCAATTCCTCCTGCCAGCTGTGTGAATACTGTGTTTCCGGCCACGAGCCAGTGTGTCCTTCTCAGGTCATTTCAGGATGCCACCAGGACGGCACTTTCCAGCAGTATACTGTTGCTGACGCCATCCAGGCTGCCAAGATCCCAAAAGGCACGGATTTGGCCGAAGTGGCTCCCATTCTCTGTGCTGGACTCACAGCATACAAGGCGCTCAAGAGAACCGAGGCCAGACCAGGCAATTGGATCGCTGTGGTAGGCGCAGGCGGAGGCTTGGGCAGTTTGGCTGTTCAGTACGCCAAGGCCATGGGTTTCATGGTTTTGGGCATTGACGGCGGCAAGGATAAGACTCAATGGGCCAAGTCGTTGGGTGCACATGAAGTGGTGGATTTCACCACGGTGCCTGATTTGCCCAAAACAGTCGTTGGCATTACTGGAGGCGGCGCCCATGGCGTGGTCAATGTTTCTGCGTCCCTGGCAGCTCTTCAGCAGTCGTTCTTTTACGTGAGACCTACGGGAACCGTGGTTTTGGTGGGTATCCCCGGAAAACCCACCGTCGACTTGCCTGTGCTTCCCACCGTGGGCAGAAATTTGAAGATTGTCGGTTCTGTGGTGGGAAATAGAAAGGACACACAAGAGGCGGTTGAGTTTTTCACCAGAGGGTTGGTGCAGCTGCCTGTCAAGGTGGCTGGCTTGAGCGAGTTGCCTAGGATTTTTGAAGAAATGGACAAGGGGATTATCATGGGCAGATATTCTGTTGATACGTCGAGATAAGGACTCGACGAGGTGGTTGGCGTTAGCGGCGGATTTACGAATAAACGAGATACGAAACACGGCGTACTACATTCAAAGACGTGAGTAATAATTAAACATGTTATATCAGTACAAATGAAATCAGTCCATCGTAACTTTTGGCAATGCATCGGACATGGCAATGGCTGATTCGGTAGAAAAAATAGCAAAGCGTCATAGTGCTTACTGTATGAGCTCCTTGTTCTTTTGGAGCAACTTCAAGGCCTCGTCCTCCTCAACCTCAAGGTATCTTGGGTTGCCCTTGTTTCTCTCAAACTCCTCGTCTGAAACCTCCTCGTAGACAGAGTACAAGTCGGTCGAGGCAGCAGACGAAACGTCAGCCCCACTGTCCTGGTTAAGGAAACCCTTGCTGTTCTGCTGGGAAGCAGCCTCTCCAGTGACAGCACCACCAGAGGCACCGCCGGTCAAGGCTTTGCTGGTTTCACCGGTTTCGGCTTCCTTGTTTCCACCAAAAAGCGTCTTGAGTCTTCTCTTGGTCGAGCCCAGCTTCTTGACCTTAGGTCTGGAAGCATCCTCGGCGTCCTTGGAGGTGGAAGCCTCCTTGGAGCCACCGAGGTTAGGAGCAGAGCTACCAAAAGTCTTGCCGTCAGACTTGGAGCTAGAACCAACAGCAGCGCCAGCAGCACCACCGCCAAGAGCACCCAAGGCACCTCCAGCAAGAAGGCCACCCTTACTCTTCTTCTCCTCCTTCTCGGGCTTCTCCTCCTCCTTGGATGGAAGAGGCTGACCGCTGGTGGAGACTTCCTTGTTCTGAGGAACAATGGAAGAGTTCACGCCAGTGTCGTGCTTGGGAGTGGCATTCTCAGAAGTGACAGCAGCTTTGGAACCAGCAGCCTTGTTACCGGCAGCAGTGGCCTGACCAGCAGCACTACCGCTAGCAGCTGCGGCCGCGGCGGCACTAGCGTTGGCGTTGCTCTGCTCTTCCTCGACTCTCTTTCTTTCCTCCTCGAGCTTCTCCTTCTCCTCGTTGAGAAGACGCTGCTCCTCCTCCTGCTTCTCCTGCTGGATTCTTCTCTCCTCGTCGGCCTTCTTCTTCTCTTCCTCCAAGCGGATTCTCTCTTCCTCGAGCTCCTTCTTGTATCTCTCGGTCTCGGCAGCCTCCTTGGCCTCCAAACGCTGCTGCTCGTGCTCTCTGTGCGTCTTTTCAGCCATGGCTCTCTTCTCCTGCTCCCACTTGGCGGTCTCCTGCTTGGCGTCTCCGAGTCTCTTGGTTCTGGACTTCTTGTCGTCCTTCAACTCGTTCAACTTCAGGGTGTGGGCAGCAAGAACACCGCCCAAGATGCCGAGCTCTCCAGCCAAAGTGGCGTGTCTGGCTCTCTTGTCGTCGAGCTCCTTGTTGCTGTCTTCGATCTTCTTGTTCAAGTCAGCCTTGGTGTCGTCATGCTGGGAAATGATGGCAAGCTGGCCAGTGTGCTTTTCCCTCAAGTCGTCCAAAGCGCTGGAACGCTCGTTCAACTTCTCGGTCAACTCCTCGAGCTTCTTGGCCAACTCGGGGTTCTTCTCCTCCAACTCGGCCTTTCTTTCCTTCAATTCCTCAATCTCGCTGGCAGTAGTCTCCTGGTTAGTCTTGGACTCCTCCAACTCCTGCTTCTTGGTCTCGGTCAATTCCTCGTGGTTCTTGATCAAGGTCTCCTTGTCGGTTTCGTGCTGCTCAACAGCCTTCTCCTCACGCTCCTGGAAGTCGGTCTTTGCGGTTTCGATCTCCTCGTGGGTCTGCTTCTCGAAACGCTCGGCTTCAGTGTGAGCAGCCTGGATCTGGTTCTCCAATCCCTGGAGCTTCTGCTCAATCTGAGAGTCAAAAGTGGCTCTCACCTTGGCCACCTTCTCCTGATGCTTGCCAAAGTCCTTGTCAAGCTTGCCCTGGTGCTTGGAAACCTTGCCGTCGTACTCCTTCTGTTTGTTGATGTCGTCCTCCTTCTTGGACTTGTTGACCTCCTCGTTGATGGTGGCAATGACGGGAGCAACACGCTTGGAGGCGATTTCCAACAATTGGGCCTGAGTCAAACGCAATCCACTGCCCAAATCGACAATCTTGTTGGGGTCGTCCAAGCTCTTGGCCACAGAGCCAATGGCATCCGCATTCAACTGCTGGTACTTGTTCAACAACACAGGCTTGTCCTTCAACTTGTCCAAAACCTCCTGGTTGGGCAACTCGACAGACTCGTACTTGGCTCCGTTGGGAACGTCAACCTCAATTGGGTTCTCCTTGACCTTCTCGACGATATCGTCGTCTCCTTCGGTGGTACCTTCGGCGAGCTCCTCGGCCATGAGCTCCTTGACAGCAGAATGCTCCTTGTCGGCAGCTTCCTCGCTTTCCTTGGCCTCCTCGCTGTGCTTGACAGCAGCGTCCTTGGCGGTGGTCTCCTTGTTGGAGCTCTCAGGAGCAAGAGGCTCGATTTTGGCGTCAGCCACAGCAGCCTCAGGAGCGGCACCTTCGGTCTCCTTTTCGGTCTTTTCGGTTTTCTCCTCGGCAGCCTTCTCCTCGGTTTCGGGCTCAGCCTCGGTGGCCTTCTTGGAGGTCTCTGGAGCTAATGGCTCAATCTTGGCCTCATCAACCACAGCGGTGTCTTCCTCTGCGGCAGCATGAATGTCTTCACTGAGGTCGTTGGCTAACTCCTCCTTCTCGGCTTCCTCGAGGTCAACAGCGCCGTCAGCCTCATCTTCGGCCTCCTTGGCAGCCTGCTCCTCCTTCTGTTTCTTCTCTTCAGCCTCCTTGGCCTTCTTCTCCTTTCTCAATCTCTCCTTCTCCTTCTTCTCGGCAAGCTCCTTCTCTCTCTTCTGGGCGTCCAAGGTCGGGTGCAGGGCAAACTTCTTGGGCACCTTGACCTGGGAAACGGAGTTCAGG